TTATGAAATATTCAAACACAGGAGGATATCTAGCAAGAGGAAAAAGCAACCTTGCCCTAATTCTACTTCCCTCTCCAGAGGTGACACAGGAAACAACAGTTTGATATCACACATCCATTGCTTTTTATTAAATGAATTTTTATGTACATACAAATAAAAATATATAGCTTATATTTTTTAACATAAATATGTTTATATTGTTTATGTTTACTTAAAAACATGTACAGTGCTTTTCTAAGACAAATCAAAGGTAAGCATATTTTACCTTTTGATAGATTTTATAAATTTGCCATACAAAAAAGCTTTACTAATTTTTGTTCCCATTAGTGATGACTGCCAGTGCCTATCTTCCTATGTTCTCTCCACACTGCAATATTATTCATATTTTCCATTTTTGCCAATATGTTGCATGGGAAATGACATTTCATGAGTATTTGGATTTGCATTTCTATGACTATTATTGAGGTTGAACATTGTATGTTTATTGGCCTTCTATATTCCTTCTTCTAGGAATTGCTTTTTTATAAACTTTGCCCATTTTTCTCTGGTGTGTTTTTTCTAGTTGATTGCTGGAATCATTTATTATGAGTAGTACTCTTTGTGGTATGTGGGCTGCATGTATTTCTCTCGGCCACATACCTGTCTTTCAGTGTACCAAGTTTTTAGCATACGGCGACTCAAACGTGTCATTCTTTCCCTCTGTGGCTAACACAACCTTTCCTGTCTCCCAAGATTACATGAAAGGTTGTCTTAAGCCATAGAGGGAAAGAATGACATGTTTGACTCTATAAAAATACGAATGTATTTTTACGTATACATGTAATATAATCCATACTCATGTATATAAAGTCATCTCTATATGCCTCAGATAGTCTCTCTACACATCTACCTACACCAATACTTTTTCGGTGTGTGTGTTTTAATTTAGCTTTTATTTCCTCACTCCAACAACCCTATGGAATAGATACTATTATTAATTTTATCCCCATTTTACAGATAATAAAACTGAGGGACAGATAAGTTAAGGCTGAGCCATCTGCCTCCAGTGCCCATGGGCTTAACCAGAATCCTATGTTCACTCAGTACTACTCCACACAACTCATTTTCTCTCCATATCATAAAAGCAACAGGCTGGGTGCGGTGGCTCATGCTTGTAATCCCAGCACTTTGGGAGGCTGAGACGGGTGGATCACCTGAGGTCAGGAGCCCGAGACCAGCCTGGACAACATGGCAAAACCCCATCTCTACTAAAAGTACAAAACTTAGCCAGGCGTGGTGGCGGGCACCTGTAATCCCAGCTACTCAAGAGGCTGAGGCAGGAGAATCACTTGAACCCGGGAGGCAGAGGTTGTGGTGAGACAAGATTGCACCACTCTACTTCAGCCTGGGCCACATAGCAAAATTCCATCTCAAAAAAAAAAAAGCAACAAAAGTTATCACAGTGTGATAATGGCGTAGAAATAGATTGCTCCTGTAAATAATCAAATAATCCAGAAAAATCATATAATAGAAAAGCTGGAGATATATAAAGAAAAAATCATAAAATATTAGAAAACATAAGGGTGGCTCATAAATGATACTGGAAAAACTGGTTAGCATTTTTTAAAGTCAGTTTAAATTTACTTTCACATCATCCGTGAAAGAAAATACTAGAAGAAAATAAACGACTTAAAAACAGAGAAATTAGATCTCTAATATAGAAGACTTACCAAAAAAAATGAACCAATTTGACTATATAAAAATGTTAAATGACTGCATGTGTTTTAAAAACTCATTTTAAAAAGGTAAACAATAGACTGGGGAAAATAACTGACAAAAATATGGTAAATAAACCTTACCCATATAAATCGGCCCCAAAAAGCCAGCATTATGATCCCATAAAATGATCAAAAGAGAAAGTACAACTTATAAACAAGCACGTAAAAAATGTTCAGCCTAGCTGTATTAAAAGAAATGCAAAATACCATAAAGAGGTTCGGTTCTGTTTTTCTTACTCTTTTTTCCCCATGATGCTGTTGGCTGGTGGAATGGATGAAATTGAATGAATGCTCCAACACACTGTGTTGATAGAAAGTAATTTAGCAACACATACCAAGCACCATTAAAATGGTTATGCCCTTTTACCCAGTAATCTCACATCTGAAACTCTACCCTACAGATACAATCCAAAAACATAAGGAAAGTTCCATGGACAAAGACAGTTACTAATCTACTACTTATAATAGCAAAAAACAAAAACAAAAAAAAAGAAAAGCAACCTAATTTTAAAAAACAGGGAAGAGTTAAATAATTTATGGACCAATCACTTAATAAAATATTTTATGCCATTAAATAATTGTCAAACTAGGCTGGGTGCAGTGGCTCATCCCTGTAATCCCAGGACTTTAGGAGGCCAAGGCAGGCAGACCGCTTCAACTCAGGAGCTCAAGACCAGCCTGGGAACCATAGTGAAACTCCATCTCTACCAAAAATACAAAAATTAGCTGGGCATGGTGGCACACGCCTGTAATCCCAGCTACCTAGAAGGCTGAGGTGGGAGGGTAGCTTGAGGCTGGGAGGCGGAAGTCACAGTGAGCTGAGATCGTGGTACTGCACTCCAACCTGGGCGACAGAGAGAGATTCTGTCTCAAAAGAATAATAGAGTAATAATTGTGAAACTACATAACATTTTTAAAGCCTTATGCTATAATATCTAGTTGTACAGGTAGAAAGAAATATATAACTTTTTTAGAGACAGGATCACACTCCGTCACTCAGAGTGAAATGCAGTGGTGAGATCATAGTTCATTGTAACCTCGAATTCCTAGGCGTGAGTGATCCTCTGGAGTAGCTGGGACTACAGGCATGCAACACCACAGCTGGCTAATTATTTATTTTCTTATTTTAATTTTTATTTTTTTGAGACAGGGTCTTGCTCTGTTGGCCAAGGTGAAATGCAGTGGCATGATCACAGCTCACTGCAGCTTCAACCTCCTGATTTCAAGCGATCCTCTTACATCAGCCTCCTGAGTAGCTGGCGTTACAGGTGCATATCACCACACCCAGCTTGTGTTTTGATTTTTCTGTAGAGATGAGCTATCACTATGTTGCCCAGGCTGGTCTTGAACTCCTGAGCTCAAGCAATCTACCTGCTTCAGCCTCCCAAAGTGCTGGGATTATAGGCATGACCTACCGTGCCCAGCCCTGGCTAATTTTTTTTTCTTTTTATTTTGGAGACAGTGGCCTTGCTATGTTTCCCAGGCTGGTCTCGAACTCCTGGTCTCAAGCAATCCTCCTTCTTCTCCTCCTGAGTAGCTGGGATTTCAGGTGCGAGCCACCACACCCAGCAAGAAATACAGAAATTTTAACAGTTGGTTTAGGGTGTGGGATTAAGTTACTATTTTCTCCAATTTCTGAATTTACTGAAATGCCATATCAGAGCACGAGCTCTGGATTGAGAGACACTTGCATTCCCATCCTGGCTGCACCACTCACCTACCTGTCCACCCATCTCTCTGACCTCTGGGATTACACCTGTAATCCCAGCACTTTGGGAGGCCAAGGCAGGTGGATCACCTGAGGTCAGGAGTTCGAGACCAGCCTGGACAATGTGGTGAAACCCTGTCTCTACTAAAAATACAAAAATTAGCTGGGCGTGGTGGCATGCGCCTGTAGTCCCAGCTATTCAGGAGGCTATGACAGGAGAATCACTTGAATTCAGGAGGCAGAGGTTGCAGTAAGCCAAGATCAAGCCACCACACTCCAGCCTGGGTGACAACAGCGAGGCTCCGTCTAAAAAAAAAAAAAAAGTTAACACATTGGAAAAATAAAATTGGAATGAGGAATGATACTTCACAAGTGGTGGTTTATTTCAATTTCACGTTTTCAAATGAGTTTAGTATTGCTTATTTTGCACCCCCTCTCCTGCCTTGGGGGCTCCTCCGTTTGGACAGCCTTGCATGTTAACTCACTTGGTAAAGGAAAGGTTAAAGGAAGTGAAACACGGCTACTCTAAAACAGAACCACAGAGACACAGAGTCCATGGAGCTGAGCTGTAAAGGAGCAGAAGCAGCCACACCAGTGAGTTCTGCAGCAGGAGCAGCACCTTCGCATTCTATCGAGAAGGGGCAGAAGCCACATTTCCCAAGAAAACTTAGTGTGGACCTCCTGCACCGCTAAGCTAAACATTTTATTCCAACAGGAAATTAGAGTCAGTGGGACAAGGAAATAAAAAGCAAAAACTTAATTTCTAGAAACAGAGTGGGTAAGAGAGATTTTAAGGTATCTTCAGCCCTGTGAGGGGGTATGGAGGAAAACGGTCTCAAGCAACCATATAATAAATAACTTCTCAGAAAAGCCGCCAACTTTATCATATTATTGCTTGAAATTCTGCCATCTGGGCTTCACAAGCATCTCATTTCAGACCCTAACACGATGCATGTATTGCCCAGATGTTGAGCACTGGGACATTATCAGACCCTCTGCCAGATGACAGGGCACACTACAGTGCTGATCTCCAAGGGGAGATGACTCGAGAACGTTCCAGGGGCTAAGCACTAGTTAAGTGGGTGGTTCTCTTCACAGGACCTTAGACATCCCACACTTGGCAAAAAGAATGCACAGAAGCAGCCCTATTCACCCTGGATGGGAAAATAATCTACACACTGCTACTAATTAGTACTCACAGCGCTTCTTTTCTAAAGAACTTCATATATTTACTTGAAGTCGGCATTAATCATCCTTTCCTTGCAAGATGAAACAGGTGACAAGCAGCGAGAAGACCATTTTCTTTCAAGACATCAGAAGATGGGTTTCAAATCCTTTTTCAGCCCCCCCAAAATCATGCATGTGTCATTAACTTATCCAGTCCATGCACCACGGGAGAATGTATTCATACTGCCTTAGTCACACCAAGATCCACTGGGTCTGTAAGACATTGTACCTAAAGCAGAAGCACCTCTTCCCCAGCTATCCTAAGATTTTCCATCTCTGTCTTAAATAATAACCAACCATGTACTTACTGCAAAACTCTGCTTCTCCTGCTTCTCGGGAGCTGCCAACCTCAATCAGCAAGTCAGCCACTCTATTCTGAGTTTGGTGCTGGCCTGGGAGGAAAACCACACTCAGAGGGGGCTGGGCAGAGAGCGCTTGAGCAACGCTTCACTCAGGAAGCAGGCGGGCTCTGCTCTCCCCAAGTTCTGATGGCCTCTCCCCCTCTCTCTCCTGCCTCTCACAATCTCTCTCTCTTCTCTTTCTTACACGCACACATGCACAAAGTGCAAAATCATATTTCCATCCTACTTGGTCCTCAATGCTTAATTTGTACCTCTCCAAAATGTAAGGGTTTCAAGATGTAGGCTGGCTAGCTTTTTGCTGATTGCTCCCTGAGACACTGAACAGATTTAAAAACAAAAACAAAAACTCAGTCTGCTCTCCACAAATGCATTTACCCTGAAGCTTCAGCCGTGCCCCACCACCTTGCCATGACCCTGTGAGCACTGTGAGTTCTAGGTGGGAAGGGGAAGTCGGGCTGCGACCAGGAAGCATATCGCAGCAGGGGCTTCTGGTGAGCCAACTAAAGGGATCTCAGAGGTAGGCATCTGAAACGCCTAGGCTTCAATAATTTGTTGTAATTTTTTTCATTCCAAATAAATCTTTTCATACTTAATTTTGAATTCAGGGAGCTCCAAAATGATATGGGCATCCTCACAAAACCTGGGGTCTACGCTCCCTGCTACTATGGACGGCCTAGAGTCAGCCCCAGTGACAATGACCTACTGCAACGGGGAGCAAATACACTGCCCAGAAAACACCGAAAAAATGTTCTGAAGGTAAACGAGCAACATGTGTTATATCCACAGGCACCAAGAACTCCATCAGCAGGCCTGGGCTAAGCTTAGTCATTGCCACAAGCTGCATTTTTACTGCTATTTTACTGAATAATAGGTGTGGAAGGCAGCCAGTCTGCTCTTGCATGGCAGAGAGCTCTTATATAGCAGGTGGCATGGGTTTGCAGAGCCTCTGTGACACAGAATCCCCCATGTTCACTATAATTCTAACTCCAGACTCGGACTCTGTCATTCTAATGGACAGAGTGCAGTAAAGAACAGTTCAGAGCCAGCCTGGCCTGGCACGGCAGCCCCATGCCCCACTTGGCCAAGGCTGCTGCCTCTCATGGCCATCCCGCTTTGCCTTGAAGGAGACAACAGGCACAATGCACTGAACCTGCTCTCACTGAGGAACACCCATCCTCCTGGGGGGCAAGGGGCATACAGGGTCCTAACTCATCTCGGTGACTCCCCATGTGGCACCATGGCACAGACACAGGAGGTGGTAGTAGTAGGGACTCTGCAAATGACAGACACCTAACTCAAGTTTGCTTAAGCAAAATAGTGAGTTTGTTGGCTTTACTGATTTAGGAAAGTCTAGGATGAATTCAGGCTGGCTTTAAGCCAGCTAGACCTTGAGGTCCAATGTTGTCATCAGGAATGGTTTTGAATCACCTGTAACTTCACTCTTCTAAACTAGTATGATTCAAACAGGGGTGCTCTGAGGATAGGAAGGCCTTGCCCGGCAGCACTGCAGGACTAGCGGTCTTTAGCATTTGAGATTCCAGATTAGAGAGTCTCTCCCAGAAAAGAGCCTGAGGTGATACACTGTCCAACCCATTCGCAGTGGAGAGGGACCCGGATGATTGGCAGCTCCACTAGTTATGGGAAAAGCAGTTTCCAAAAGGAGAAAAAAAGCTAGGCAGAAAAAAAGTACAAGCTAGTCACTCAACAGCGTCTTGGATTATTAAGCCTTTCATGTGATCATGTCTTACTTCCCTCATTACACTGTAAATCTATCAATAGAAAGATACCCACAAAATGTTAACAGTGCTTATCTCTCAGACTGAGGGTCATTTACTTTTTAAATTCACATTGTAGCTTCTAAATTTTCTAAAATACATATTATTAACCTGTATAATAAAATAATATACCTAAATAAGTTATCACATGTTTTAAAAAATCCTACTTACAATAGTAACTATCCATAAATAGACCTGGTAAGAAAGTTACAGTCGCCCCCCAAAATTCATGCTTTTCTGAATGACAAAAAAGAAGACTGGATGAAAAAGCATACCATGCTCTCCCAATGGATATTCATTCTCTGTAAACAATTTTATAAATGTGATGTAATTCCAATAAAAATTCTAATCAGATTAGAAATATGATGAAAATTATTTATAAAATTATCCTAAAATTCATCTGGTAGAATAATTGATTATTCTCTATAGAAGCTATGAAATAACTTGATTCTTCTCTAAAGAAGAAAATTCCATACACACACACACACACACACACACACACACACAAACCATTTGTACTACCAGATAGTAAAATAGATCAGAAAAGTAAAAAATCACAATGGCATGGTTCAGGAATACAAAGAAGAGCACTGGATCATGGCAAAGCCCAGAAATAAGAATTTAGATTATGAGGAAGATGGCATGACTAATCTAGGATAAAGAATGGATTGTTTTAGCTGAGCACAATAGCTGGTGAGCTTGTAATCTCAGCTACTTGGGAGGCTGAGGAGTGAGGATTGCTTGAGCCCAGGAGATCAAGGCTGTAGCACACTATGATTGTGCTTGCAAATAGCCACTGCACTCCAGCCTGGGCAACATAGTGAGACCCTGTCTCGAAAAACTAAAAAAGAAAAAAGACCACACTTCAACCTGGGCAACATAGTGAAATCTTGTCTCGAAAAATTAAAAAAGAAAAAAGAAAGAAAATATAGGAGATTATCCTGAATACGGTAGGAGAGGCCTCTCTGAGCCTACAGGCAAAGGCAGAATACATAAAGAAAAAACAGATGTGACTTACTTGAAAATTGAAAACCTCTGAAAAAAAAAAACCCACTATAAACAACTTGAAAATGTCAATGACAAGATGAGACAAACATGTGTGCATAACCTTTGGTTCCATTATTCCATTTGTAGGAATGTATCCTACGAAAATATTCATGAATGTATACAAAGCTATCTGAGCAGGAGTGATGAGCTTATCCTTGATTATAACAACAACAATGGCAAGAAAAGAAATAACTTAAAGTCTAATTGGTTAGATGATGGTATATCCACATAATTAAGCCTTATGCAGCCATTAAAAGTGATAATAGATACGATGTAGATAAGATATAGGAAAATCCTCAACAAAATACTAGCAAACTAAACCTAAAAACATACATAAAGGATTTTATACCATGACCAAATGGAATTTATCCCAGAAATTCAAAGTTGGTCAAAATCAATGTAATTTGTCATAGTAATAGAACAAAGGACAAAACCATATGATCTTCTCAATAGATGCAGAAAAAGCATTAGACAAAATCCAACAGATTTTAATAATATAAACACTGAACAACTAGACATAAAAGGGAACTTCCTCAACTTGATAAAGGGCAAGTTCAAAACACTCACAACTAACATTGTACTTAGTGTGAAAATCTGATAGCTTTCTCCTAAGACCAGAAACTAGACAAGCGTGTCTCTGCTCTCACCACTTCTCGTCCACATTATACCAGAGGCTTTAGTCTGGACAATTAGGCAAGAAAAAGAAAGAAAACGCATCCAGATTGGTAAGAAAGTAAAATTAATTCTAATCACAGATGACATGCTCTTGTAGGTATAAAATCATAAGGAATTTACAACAAAAAAAGCTCTTAGGGCTAATAAAGGAGTTCAGAAAGGCTGCAGAACACAAGATGTTACAAAAATCAATCCATTGTATTGCTACACACTTGCAATGAATAATCCAAATATACTCAGAAACCAATTCCATTTATAATATCATCAAAAAGAATAAAATATTTATATGTTTATAAAATATTTATAAATATGTTTAATTATAAAATATTTATAAATATGTATGAATAAGTAAGTGGAAAATCTACACACTGAAAACTACAAAATGTCATTGAAAAAACTAAGGAAATCAAGTAAATAAACAGACATCCCATGTTCACATAAGACAGTCATATAGACCAATGGAATAGAATTGATAGTCCAGAAGTGAACCCATAAATTTATGGTCAGTTGATTTTCAACAAGGATGCTAGGACAATCCAATGGGAGACAGTCTTTCCAACAAATTATGCTGGAATAACTGGATACCCACATACAAAAGAACAAAGTTAGACTCCTACCTCATACTATATACAAAAATCACCTCAAAGTACAAGAGCTAAAACTTTACAACTCTTGGAAGAAAACATAGCTATAAAACTTCATGACTATATTAGACACTATTTTCTTAGAGATGACATCAAAAGCAGAAGTAAGCAAAGACAAACTAGATAAAGTGGACTTCACAAAAATTAAAAATCTTTTGCTTCAAAAGATACTATCAAGAAAATGAAAGGATATGCAGCCATAAAAAAGAACATGTCCTTTGTACGGACACGGATGGAGCTGGAGGCCATTATCCTCAGCCGCCAGCTAATGCAGGCAAATACTGCATGTTCTCACTTATTAGTGAGAGCTAAATGATGAGAACTCATAAACACAAAGAAGGAAACAGACACTAGAGGGTAGAGGTTTGGAGGAGGGAGAGGAACAGAAAAGATAACTATTGGGTACTGGGCTTAATTCCTGGGTGATGAAATAATCTGTATAACAAACCCCTGTGACATGAATTTACCTATGTGATAAACCTTCACATGTACCCCTGAACCTAAAATAAGTTTTAAAAAAATGAAAATGAAAAGATAACAGACAGAATGGGAGAAATCATTTGCAAATCCTATATATGATAAGGGTCTACTATCTATAATGTGTAAAGATCTCTTAAAACTCAATAACAAAAAGACAAATAACCCAACTGAAAAGTGGGCAAAGGATCTGAATAGATATTACTCCAAATAGACTATATAATACAAGTGGCCAACGAGCACATGAAAAGAAGCTCCATATTAGACAAATCAATCATTAGGTATTCTGCAAATCAAAGCCACTGGGAAATACCACTCCACGTCAACTGGGATGGCTCCAGCCAAAAGGACAGATATTAACAAGTACTAGTGAGGATGTGGTGACACTGGAACCCTCATACATTGCTTATGTAAATGTGAAAAAGTACAGCCACTGTGAAAAACAGTTTGGGGAGTCCCTCAAAAAGTTACACACCTTTACTATTATGACCCAGTAACTCCAGTCCTTGGTATATATCCAAAAGAATTGAAAACAGAAGTTCAAACAAAAACTTGCAGACAAATGTTCACAATAGCACTCTTCACAGTAGCCATAAAGCAGACAAAAAAACCAATGGCCATCAGCTGATGAATGGATAAATATAAAATGTACATCCACACAGTGAAATACTATCCATCAGTAAAAAGGAATAACGTACCGATACATGGATGAACCCTGAAAACCTTATGTTGAACAAAAGAAGCCACACAGGCTGGACACCGTAGCTCACGCCTACAATCCCAGCACTTCGGGAGGCTGAAGCAGGCAGATGACTTGAGCCCAGAAGTTTGAAACCAGCCTGGCCAACATGGCAAAATCCTGTCTACCAAAAATACAAACCAGGTATGGTGGTGTACATCTTGGTCCCAGCTACTTGGGAGGCTGAGGTGGGAGGATCGCAGAGTTTGCAGTGAGCTGAGATTGCAGCACTGCACTCCAGCCTGGGTGACAGAGCAAGACCCTGTCTCAAAAAAGAAAAAAAAAAAAAAAAAAGAGAAGCCACACGCAGAAGACCATATATTGTATAATTCCACTTCTACGAAATGTCCAGAAGAGGGGAATTCAGACAAACAGAAAGTACTTGAGTGGCTGCCACAGGATGAGGGAAGGAGCGATGGAAGGGTGGTAACTGCCCTGGGTTTTCAGGGTGGGGGGTAATGGAATGTTCTAGAATTTGACAGCAGTGACTGTTGTATAACCTTGTGAAGATACAGACAAATCACCATGTTGTTCACTTTTAAAGTATGAATTTTATGGCAGTGAATATAAGTGAATACATGCTATCTCTATAGAAATATTATATATACTATAAATATGTTAAAAATATTATAAATATGTAAACATTTATATAAATGTGAATATATGTGAATTTATGGCATCTCAATATAGAAAGCGATACTATAAAATATCCAGTGATCTAGAACAATGATGACAATATATGTTGGTAGAAAATACAAATTGTAAAGTGTTTGCAGTAGGAGCTCATATTTACATTTAGGTATATAAAAAAGACTGAAAAAAAATCTGTATATTAAGAATGGTTAGGCTGGGCGTGGTGGTTCACACCTGAAATCCCAGCACTTTGGGAGGCCAAGGTGGATGGATCACCTTAGGACAGGAGTTCAAGACCAGTCTGGCTAATATGGTGAAACCCTGTCCCTACTAAAAATACAAAAACCAGTTGGGCCTAGGGGTGTGCACCGGTAGTCCCAGCTACTTGGGAGGCTGAGGCAGGAGGATCACTTGAACCTGGGAGGCGGAGGTTTCAGTGAGATCGCACCATTGTACTCCAGCCTGGGTGACAAAGTGAGATTCCATCTCCAAAAAAAAAAAAAGAATGGTTATCTAGGTGGTGGAATAATAGGAAATTTTAATTTTCTTTATGCTTTTTAAATTTTTCTACACTGTCTACTATGAACATGTAACAGTTTTGTAATTTTTAAAAATCTATTTAAGACTGGGCACAGTGGCTCACACCTGGAATCTCAGCACTTTGGGAGGCAGGAGGATTACTTGCATCCAAGAGTTCAAGACCAGCCTGGGCAACATAAGAGCCCTTATCTCTACCCAAAAAAAAAAAAAAATTAATTAACCAGGTGTGGTGGTATGGCACCTGTAGTCCCAGCTACTTGGGAGGCTGAGATGGGAGAACTGCTTGAGCCCAGGAG